GGATGCGGAGTGACCATAACCTCTTCCAAACTCTCGCCTTTCCAGCCGCGACAATGGCGTTCTTTGAGAGGAACTCCCGCAACCATCTTTTGTAGCCTCTTTAACTGTGAAGTCACCCTCTTCGTTTTCTTTCCAGATTAATCGGTCCTTCTCTCCAATTCTCCTTAGAGGAATTTGAGTAATCAGCTGAGTCGTTGCAGGGGAAAGCACTTGTTCAGAATATCCATATCCCACTGTTCTGTGATTGGAGAGATTAAGTCCCTCATGACCGCATCGACCGGCAAGCCTTTCGGGGCAGAAGTGATGAAAGCTTGGTTGCTTTTCGGCAACCATTTGTCGCCCCAGACCTTGATACTGGTGTCATTTCCCACAGTCCATCTAACACCTTCGCAGATGAATTCTCGGGCACTCAATAGGCTACGCCAAATGAAGCTAGGTCTGTATCCAACATTAGCATCCAGAATCGATACCTTTTTGTGGTACTTAGCCTTCATGATTTGTCCAATCAGCGTTGTTGGCCTCTTAAATAGCCTCCATATATTTTTTGCTAGCATTGTCATGTTGGACTCGCCATGCCTTCTCTATTTAGCCAATGTACCCGCTTTTCAGTTCCCTTCTGCCTCCAATAAAAATTCATTATAAGACTATGAACTTCGTTAATCACATCATTAGGGATTCTGAAAACGGACATTGCGTAGGTAAATTGAGCTTGAGTTACTACCCTGATCGGCGTTTCTCTCCCTACTACCGACAACACTTTCTTCTTCCATCCCTTTAACTTTTTCCGTACTCTCTCCTTTAGATCGTTTAACATTTCTTTTTTCCGTACCATTAATTTCTGATGCATCTTAATATTCTCGCTGAAAGATACCTTAGATTTCTGGAAGTTTACAACTTCTCCCGACTCTGCTTCATAATCTTGCAGGATTTTCTTAAGAACCTGACTCTCCTCCGTAGTGGCCCTCCCAAAGAACACACAGTCATCGGCGAAGAATAGATGGGATACCACAGGAGCTCCTCGTGCCGCCTGGAAACCGTGCAGTTTTTTTTCTCCCTGGCCGCCACCCTGGTGATGGCCGAGAGCCCTTCAGCATAGAAGAGGAAGAGATATGGAGACAATGTATCTCCCTGTCTCAGTCCTCTTTCCGGCCTGAAGGTCTCCGATTTGTTCCCATTCACTAAGACCGAGTATGAAACGGTGCTCACGCACATCATCATCAAATCAATCCATATCCCTGCAAACCCCATCCTCTGCATTACTGCTTTCAGGAAACACCACTCCACTCGATCATAGGCCTTTGCCATATCAATTTTGGCTGCAAAAATCCCCATATCTCCTTGTTTCCTCTTGTTCATGGAATGGAAGCTTTCGAACGCAGCCATAATATTATTTGTGATAAATCTTCCTGGGACAAAAGCTCTCTACTCGGGGGATATTACCTGATCCAGCACTAGCTTCAATCGATTTTCTAGAACCTTGGCCACCAGTTTATAAATTACATTACAGAGACTGATAGGCCTAAAGTCTTGCGGCATCGACGACTTCTTTATCTTCGGGATCAAACCAATGGAGAGTGTGATTGATACCCTGCGGCATCACCCTGCTCTCCAAAATGCTAAGTACCGCAGTCACCACATCATCACCAATAATCCTACAGTATCTCCTGAAAAACAAGACTGTTAAACCATCTGCACCTGGAGCTTTTCTAGCGCCCATTTGCTACAGCGCTGACACAATATCGTCCCTTTCAAAAGGTCTCAGGAGCATTTCATTTTGATCTTGATTCACCGAACTATCTATTGAGTTCAGCACAGGTGTGGACTGCGGCGCACAACTAGCGGAAAACAACTACGAAAAGTGGTCAGTAAAGCAAGAGAATATTTGCTCCGGTGTTGTATGCCATATTCCCGTTGGGTCTTTGATCCTGCAAATTGTGATCCTTTTCCTGCGATGTGAGGCCTTCTTGTGATCCTTTTCCCATCTCGCAGCCAGTCCGCATGGGAGCGTTGGCTCCAGTACAGTTCCTCGTTTGCCTCAAGCTCCTCCAGTTCTTCTTCCAACTGTTTTCGGTGCTGGTTATTCATATCTGTCCGTGGGCGTCGAGCCAGCGCCTCCAAGGCTCGCTTCAGTTTGGCTCCTTGCTTCCGAAAGTTTGGAAAGATCTTTCGGCTCCAAGTATCCAGTTTATTCCTGCAAAGCTCAAACTTTGTTAGAATATCATCTTGTTCCCGTTCCTTCCATGCTTCTTCTATTACTTTTGGACAGTCTTCATGATTTGCCCAGTGGGGTTCAAATTTGAAAGACCAACCCCACTTTGGCTCCTCATCCGCTTCCCCATAAGTGTCACAAATTATAGGTAGGTGATCCGATCTGTCTCTCTCCTTATGTTGAACTCGAGCATTGGTAAAAGAGGCTTTCCAATTGTGCGAGGCTAAAAACCGATCAAACCGCTCCTCTATAAAAGCTTCACCCGCACGCCTGTTCTCCCAAGTAAACGGGTTACCCGTAAACCCGAGGTCCCAGAGCTCGACTTCAGTGAGACAATTCGAGAAGTCATTCATCATCATGTCTGGGGCAGGCCTCCCTCTCTTTTTCTCATCCAATCTCATAACCAGATTAAAGTCCCCCCCCCCCCCCCACATAGCCATGGACCATCCCATTGTTGTCGCAGTTGTCTCATCCTCTCTGACACGCCAAAACACAACACCAAACTGCGACCAAGTGTAATCGCAGTCCGGGAATGCAGTAACAGGCAAGTTATATTATCAACCCGGGGTCTAGATCTACTGCTTACTCCGTGATTCTCTATTATCTAGCAAACTAGTTCGAGTGATTGTTGTGAAAAGTAAAAGCAACAAGAAAGCAGTAAATGGTTCGGTTTTCTAAAGCAGGCAAGAGTCACTCGGGATTGAGTCCCCCTAGCCCCTTAGTTAGGTTCAATTGCAATTCCCTGGGTTGATACTGTTGATTAGACTGCGGAAGATCCGACAGTAGCTTGGAATCTCTTAAGCTGACCAAGCCCTCTCAGTCTAACTACCCGGCAGACGACTAGTCTTCACCGGGATAGAAAGCTGAGGCTATGAACACAGAACTCCACTACTGGCGCCAAGAACACCAGTACAAAGCAGTAAACTGGCTAACTCTCGTATAGCCAATCTCCTACTATCGAATGAAGAGGCTCTAACAACCTAATCAGATTCTATCTATCTCAGGTTGAAGCAGAAATTGAGACAAGCTGATCAGACTCAAATCAATTCATTAAACATGCGTCATTCGATTAAAATCAAACAGTAATATCATCCCAAGTCATTACAATCAAATCCCTAACACAAGGAACTAGGGTTCTTCATACCCAAGTGAGAGAAGGGTTCTACTCCATAGAGAGAGAAGAGAAAACAAGAATCGGATTAGTCATACTCATAACGATGAGGATAATCTGCTCCGGGATGATGATTTTCACTCCTATGACGATCTCCAGGCTCGATTCAATGAAATCTAGCTCTAGGACAGCTTCTAGGATGTGTTCTTCGCACTTTCTCTCTCTAGGGCTCTGTTTTTGCTCTGAAAACACGATTCTCCCACTTCTGGCTCGGAATAGGCTATAAAACAGGCTTTCCCGACTTGCACGGCCAGGGTGCACGGCCGTGCACATCACCATTCTGGCCGTGCGAGTCCAAAACGCAGCCGTACCATTTAGTCGGCCTCAGGCTTCTTGCACGGCCAGGTGCACGGCCGTGCAATCTTCAGGGCCTGCCCGTGCGTGGCCTCGGCACAAGGTGCACGGCCAGAGTTGCACTTTGCACGGCCGTGCAGCCCCATGGTCTGCCCGTGCAGCTCCCCAAAAAGCTCGCCATTCGTCCGTTCTTCTCCCAATCGACCCCAGACTCGCTCCTAAGCCTTCATTCACGTACTAGGACCTGAAATATCACAAACAAGCACAACCTAGCGTGAAATCGGCCTAAAACACGAGAATCAACACCTCAAACGGTGTAAGAACGGGAGTAAAAACATGTGTAAATGACGGTCTATCACTCTCTAACATCCTCCATTTTTGCTATCTTCTGACGATCCGTATATTCCTGTGAATCTCCAAATCCCACCTTCATCTTCGCTAACTCGTACATCGGCATGATTTTGGGTAATGGACATCAACTCAATGTTTAGTCCCTCCCTCTACCAAATGCACAGCCTGCCTGCTTGACCACCCCGCGAGAGGTCCGAGAATGCTTCACCTTCTTCGAAACCTACTTCCTTTTGCGTAACCTTATTTTCATCTGTTGTTTGTTTGGTTTCCATTAAGAAAACCACATGCGGGGAGTCCTGTCGCAAAAGTGACTTTAACGCTCTAACTGCTCGCCCAGTCCGTGACAGTTATAACTCATTAATCTCATTTATTACTTAAAGGGGATAGGTTCCCCGCGCCATTCTTTGGGATATTATCCTTTTTTGTTTTCAAACCACCTTCTCCTCCCATCTTCTGTTTCCCTACCTTTTTATGTGATTCATTATTTGCTTGTTGTAGCGTTTCCTTCCCTGCCTTTGACGATCCTTTAGTGAGTTGAGACTTTTCATCATCTTTTGGATTGCTTCCTACCATTGCCACTCTGGGGTTTGACACATCGGGAGACACCGAACCAGTCTGGCCAACTATATTACCCATGTCTTACATGGTCTCATCCCCCTTGCTAGAGTCTTCTCCATTCATCGACTTTGATACGCCATTTGCCTCTGCTGCCATCGGAGTTCCCCGTTCACCCCGGACCTCTGTGTTTTTACCTGCAGAGGGAGCTTCATAACTCTTTTCCAGGTTCCCATCATTTTCATTTAGGACAGTAAAGCGATTTGGTCCCATGCCAGTCTGTTTCTTTTGTCGTTGTGGTCCATTGATTGAGTTACGTTGAATGGGCTTCCAAACCTTCTTTTTCACTGTCATCCAATCGCCATATAGACATCCCTTCGTGCAATCTTCCTTTTGTGTTTCAAGGACTACCTCTTCCATCTATCCTTCATTATCTTCCTTCATCACTTTACATGAGCACTTATAAGCTTTTTTACCATACATACCACATTCATCATAGATTTTGTCCAGCCCTTCATATTGCATCGGGTACTTCTTACCCTCAACCTTGTACTGGGATAATAAGGGTTGCGTCAGGTCAACCTCCACACACACCCTTGCATAGTTCCCCCGGGCACCTAGCTCTGTTGCTCGATCAACACGAATAGGCGTACCGATCAGCTTCTCGATCACCATAACAACTTCCGTATTAAAGAATTCAATTGGGAGATCCGGCAATTGAACCCAAACTATCGTAGACTTCACTTATACCTTCTATGGGTTGAAACCCTTGTACCATATAAATACCGTGAGATAAGTGTCCCCAAGCAATCACGGTCCTCCTGATGATGCGTAATCATAATCCTGCTTACTCCGGAAGCGAACCAAGAAACATCCATTCTTCATATATAATATTTGCAGCTCACCATGTGGAGCCCATAGGAAGTTCAGCCTTTTCGACAATGGGAGGAACGACACTCGCCTGTCCAGACCTTTAACTACCAGCGCCGACCTCCACTCCCTTCTCCATTTGTTTTTTGGCTTGCTGTGAATAGTGCCGATGGGCATCTCGGATCAAAACCATCTTCATCAATCACATCATCCTCTTCCCTTTCTTGTTGAGCAACATCTTCAGAGTCTGAGTCTTCAACATACCACCCATCTTCACGTAGAACTTCACTGAATAACTTTTGTCTTCCTCCCGGCCATGCAGTACGTGGGTTCTCCTGGTATAATTGTGTTAATTGCCATAACTCTCCCAAAATTAACTAGAGGTGGTTGGAGCGGATTCTGTCAATAACCTTGTGGTCAATAACTATGCATAACTCAATCAGGATCCGCCACATCAGCGTCCCTTCTCTCTCCTGAAAAGCCTTTAATTTCCCCCTAATCTTTAACGGACGATTTCTCACTCATTTTAAGTCAAAATTTAATTTTGGGTAAATACAATTTAATATCCAAAACCTTTCATTTTAAACAATATAATAGCCAAACTTTTTCGAAAACAATCTAATATCCCAATCGTCAACTTTCTGTCCGTTTGACCGTTAGTTGACACTTCAAAAAAGCTTTGTTTAGGGGAAATTGTCACAATACAACTTTGTTTCCTTGTTTTGGCATTGCAGATGACTGAATATTTAGATATTCTATACCATCATGGTGGAGTCATGGACTTCTTGGGTTTGGAACCACGATATGTTGGTGGTTTTTCAGAGAAGATATCGATGGATATTGATGAAGTGTCGTACTTCGAACTTGATGAAGTGTCAACTAACGGTCAAACGAACGGAAAGTTGACGATTTGGATATTAGATTGTTTTCGAAAAGGTTTGACTATTATATTGTTTAAAATGAAAGGTTTTGATATTAAATTGTATTTACCCTTTAATTTTTTTTTTTTGCACAGTTAGATCAGATTAATTGTGCTCTTCAAAATGATATCCACTTTGATATATTTTTGGAAAAAAAAAATTGAGCCATTTTTTACCAGTCTATACCAAGTGGTATTGACTGGTATTGAAATAAGAGCATACCTATGGTATTATAAAACGTACCATGGTGGTATGAACAAACCAAAACTAGAGGATGGTTGAATACATGATAGTAGAAGTATATTAACTGTCATTTACGACTTTTAACATTGCGTACCATAAGATACCGCCCCGGACCAGGGTGGTATTGTGTGGTATTTTTTGGTCATGTATTTTGTTCACCTAGAAATTTGTAGATCCAATAAATCATGATGAACTCGTTCCTTCTCTGCAAAAATTTTAAAAAACGAAGAAGATACCATATGGTATGCAGTTGGTATGGAGAGGCAATAAATTTTTTCCCTAAAAAAATATTGAAAAATGATCTCATTTTGCAGAGCACAATGAACTCGTTCCATCTGTGCAAAAAAATTTGAAATCCGAGTTAAAACGAAAAAGATATGAGTCGATTAAGAAAACAAGAGAAAAATAAAAATGTCTTTAATTCTCCATTCTTATATCTGAATTTTCTGAATGCATGGTCCAGATTTAGTTACTAATAGGTGCATAACCATGAGTTATGCACCCTATCTAGAGCCAGCGCAGTGGTGTTGTCTCCTTTTTAGTCAGGTTTTATTTATTTATTTATTATTTGTGCGATTTTAGGCTTTTAGCATTGTAGCATTAGGTTTCTTTTTTATTTATTTGGCAAGTCATCAATTTGGAGTAATTCCTTATTACACCCATCAATCTTTTATGTAATTAGCTTTTATTTCCCTTAATTGAGGAAACTTTTAATTCTCTTTTCATCTTCTTATTTATTTTTATGCCAATTTAACGGAGCATGAAGGAAAACCAAGAAGGTATTTGTTGGTTTCTTAAGTGACAGTACGTTATCCTTTGCTTTTGGTAAATGTCATGAAGAAATTTTTTAGGCTTACATTACTGAGCTTCTGGTTTAGAGATTCTATGAGATGATGTTTAACTCATAATCGTTTGGTGGTTGTATTTGGTGGAGACGCTCAACTGGTCATCAAGCACGTTATGTCAAAGAACGCTACGCACTCTTGAGCAGAGGCTATCTTGGAGGAAGTTACTCCATTTTCTCTATTTTTTTTAGTCTGTGTGTGACGTTTTGCTCCTTGGAGCTTTAACCGAGCTGTCCATGTAGTGGCTAAACAAGCTCTTTCATCGGGAATCCGTTTGCTTACAGATTACCGCCTTTTATTTTTAGTCCTCCTTGTAACTGAGTTGCGTCTTTGTCCATGCCCTCTGGGCTTGCCTTGGAAAAATAAAATATATGAGTGCTAAAGTTTTGAAGTCCAAACTTTAATTATTTAAATTTAATATATTCCTACCAAATAATTATGTAACTATATAAGATAAGTAGAAACTTATTATTTTACGAAAATGGAAATTATTCAATATAATTTAAGTGATGCTTTTTGAAAAGTAGAAACTATTAATGACAAGCAATGTAATCAAAATTGTGCTTTTAGGTCACAAAAAATATTTCTATGTATAATCGTGGTTTTCACTTATAAGTGTACTCAAATCTACACTTTAAAGTTTAAAAGCTTACATTTGTACACTTCGAGGTCACTAAAATGCTTTCACGTAGAATCACAATTTTGACTGCACTGATGACAACAAATCAAAACTAGGAAAATTTACTTATATCAGTTATAAACTTATAATAATAAGATGAAAGACCCCTTCGTCCTCCGGATTTGTTGCTTTATTCCTGGGAAAGGGGGGCGAGATGTGTGTGTCGATCTGACTAGATCTTTGCCTTTGGCTCAGACTGGGATGACTGGTTTTGTTCCTGGACGAGTTGTTGTTGATGATGCTCAGCGAAAATGTGTCAAGTATCGGGACTTGTGCATGGCAGCTGGTTACAGTTTCCTGCCCTTTTCTTTTTCTTCGATGGGAGAGTTCGATACGGATGTCGTGGCTTTGCTCAAGGGGATCCAGAAATTCTCCATGTCACGGGATGTGGGGGCTCGAGCAGCTGCGTAAATTTTTACTCGACTTACCTTTGCTATAGCTAAAGGAGTGGGAGCCCAAATTGTATCTCGCTGCCCACTAATTTTTTGTAGACGTTTGTTTGTTATGTTTTCCACTTTATAAGATGAATATTATTTGGTTGCATAAAAGCAGTGGTAGCCCAGTTGGAGAGTGGTTGGTTTGGTCATGGTGGGTTCGAAAGCCATTACCCTAGCTTTTCAAATTAGCTATCTTTGAGCTTCTAATAAGTTGTTTGGTTTATTCAGTTCGAGCGGTTAACCACATCGGTCGGCCGATTCTCAGCATGCAGTCAGGGTGATAAATAGAACTAGACTAGCAGTTGGGTGTCGGTTTTACTGGTCAAATCGACCGGATTGGTTTGGCTTTAACAACAATAGTAATTACTAATTAGTAATTTCCAGAGTTTTTGTGGAATGAAACTCAAATCATTAATTGAATGTGTGGTATCTATATGCTTAGGATACTCAAATCATAACAGAATCTCACCAAAAAGGTAAGATTCACTACGGGAAAAGTGCCTTTTGGCAACACTTGAAATGTGTTGCAAGAAGTGTCGAATGTGTTGCATAAGTGATATGCAACACTTTTAGTAGTGTCCCCTATAAGTGGTGTTGTATAAAGTAATAAGTAACATTTTTTTTAACTTTTTGCAACAACAAAAAAATGTGTTGTGTATGTATACCCTATATGCAACACCATTTTTTGCAACACTTCAAAATATATAGGCAACACTTTTTACATGCATACCCAACATGTATATGCGTTATTCATGACGTACTTTGTCGTCACATTAGACGTACTCAATTGTCACAACTTTCAGATTGTAACAAATACTTTGCGCTTGTGACGAGTTTACGTCGTCACTAAATTTGTCTCAATAGTAACAATTTTCGTCGTCACAAATGCTATTCTTATTCGGCTGAACTTTTGTCACAAAAGGAGGTTTTTGTGACGGCCTTATCGTCAGAAAATTATTTTTTTGTGACACGATTATCGTTATAGGTGTAATAGCATTAGTGACAAAGGTTTTTTGATTGTCCATTACACCTTTGGTTATGATAACATTTGTCATGAAAGCCCACTTTTGTGACAACTGTCTTGCCACGATTGACAATATCTATGACGATTCTGTTTTGTAAGAATAGTATATATTAGTGACGATCTGTTACGCGATTGAAAGTATTTTTTGTGACACGTAATGTCATCACAAATTTGTAACATTAGTGAGGATTTTGGTCATCACAAATGTGTATTGTTCGTGACAACAATGTTGTCACATATTTATGTTTTGGTGGCAAAAGCGCACACAAAAATAGTTTTTTGTGACAAAACTATTAATCACATATGGTAATATTTGTGACCATTGAGCATTGTAAGCAAATGTATGTATTAGTGACAATCTGATCATCACTAAATTCATTTTTTGTGGCAACTATATTGACCACATAATACAATATCAGTGAGAATTTGAAGCGACACGCATACATATTATTTGTGACATCAATACTGTCACATTTTATCTTCTTTGGTGACAATAGATACACCCATAGTAACCTTAATGGTGACATGAAGCATTATCAGAAGTGTATATCAACCATGAGTCCATGACAATTACACTCATGACAATTGGGTCCCTTTTGTGACTAGGTCTTGTCACAATCGTAGTGTTTTTGTGAAAATATAATTTGTCACGTGTGA